AAGAGCCTTTTGCGTCTCCTGCAGCTGGTGGGACGACACAATTGAGGCAACCGGCACATTCGCAGCGTCCGATGCAAGCACAAGCGCAAGCTCCCCCTCCGGCGTCGTACAACAATCAAGATCCGCAAATCCAACCTTCTCCTTATGCGTCGTTTTCTCCGTACGCGCCCCGTCGAGCCCGACCACACAGGAAATCAGCCAGGCAAGCCACGCACATGTCTCCGCCTGAACCCTCGCCTGCGCCATATGTGGTGCAGTCTCCTTCGGCAACTTTGCCTCAAACCCTTCACGCACCTAAGGCTGATGTCGCTGTCCATGAGAAGCCTGCCGACCTACCAGCCGCTGTGGATGGAGAGGCGACGAGCTATGCGGCTCAGACCCCGCATACGGACATGAACATAACTGATGCAGGTATGGGCTGGCAGAGGCCAGAAGAAGGTCGCGTCATTATCAGCCAGCCTGCATCCTTCAGGCGCCCCGGTGGCGTTTGCATCGTTTCCGTCGTAGAAACGTGGGAGAAGCTCTGGAGCCTGGATGTCACAGAGCCGATCTCGGTGAACGACCTCTACAGCATCCTGCGACGCGCGCCCAATTTGCAACACACGTATTTTGCATGCCTTACCGCGGACTCAGTGGGACGAAGCCGCGAGGGCTGGACGACAGTGCAGGCTCATAAGCTCGAGTCCATCACGAAAATCCCGGAACGCTCGAATGTGATTGTAACCGAAAACGGCGATTGCAATCCCACGCCGGCGACGGGGCGGCTTCCAATTCCACAAAATCGCTTGCAATCGGCTGGCAACCCCACGCCATGCCAGCATGAGCTTTCATGCTATTGTGCACTGATTGCCTACCGCTAATCAGGCGTAGGTAAGTAGATAGCCCACTACTACTAGGGACAAACCCTCCAGAGTACCGCCGCCTTCGCAGCTAGCGCGCCAATGTTGTGTTTAGGCAGCAGTGGACGTGGACCGCCGCCCCAGTACGTGCAGGTGCTTACCCGCGGGGCAGCGCCGGAGCAGCCCGCCGCACGACGCGGCGTCTGATTCAGATCACGTGGTCACTCTCGTTGACAAACAAGCACGTACAAAGGTGGGCGGACATTCAAAACGGTCGCGTCCCAACAGTTTTGTTCCCTGCTTCCCCCCACCGTTGTCGATCAAGCGGTGGCCTCTCTGGCCTGAATTCCGCCGTTGCTCCATCGTGGAAACATGACCGCGTCTCCAACGCACGATCCTTGCCCGGCGTAGCGCTGGCAACCGCGGTGTTGAAGGCAGCTCGGGCCAGGGCATGTTGAAGGAAGTTCGTCGCACGGCTGGGAATGCACGCCTGCAAGCTACGAGACGAGTCCGATAGTGCGTGCCAACGGCAGCCATCTTTGACTGTGCGCTGATTGCTTTCGAAGTCGACGCCCGGACGATAAAGACATTGTCAACCCCGTCTCGCCTCGTAGGACACTCGCCGCCCCTGCCCTTCCCTCGCCCTCCCCTCACACCCCTGTTAGTGTCTTCGCGCCGCCCGAGTTGTACTTCTCGAGTATGCGAAAGCTGTACGCAGCCGGCCTCTTCATCACGGCCTTGGTTTACGCTAGCGAATCCCGCGGCGCAGGTGCTCGCTCAAGTCGGGTTTCGCTTTACACTGGGACAGTTTGATGTACGTCTGCCGTGCTCAGTCTTTGCCCGCTCTTCTCATTACTTGTTTAGATTGTGCTACGACTGCGAGTCGGGCCGCCCGATCGTCTGGTATAGGCCTTGTAGTCGTTGCCATGCCTTTTAAGTCATTGTCTCTTGCGGCTTCCGCCCTCAACTAAGTGAGTGCTCGTTGACGGCAGCCTTGCCTCTGCTTACGTATGTCAGCGATCGTGTGTATGCGCGGCGCAGCTGGGCTTCATCGTTTCGTTGTAAGTTGCCCACATATTTACGTGTGGTCATCTGCTAATGTTTCATGTAGTTGTGATTGACGCTTGTGTTCGTACGGTAAGTAGTCAGCTAATGCTGATATGGTTTGTCTTTTCCGAGGATGGTTTGCCGGCGCGAGAAGGTGATCAGGTGATGGATGTGGTATCTGTGTGTGGCTGCCCATGCGCAGGTTCGTTGTATACCATGTAGTTGTAGTCTAGCATAGCTCTGCAATATATTATCGTCATTTTTAGTGACATTTATCCCGCAATATCCAGCAATGGCATTGATTGAGTACCCGCTATGCATTGGCAAGTAAGATGAATATTCGTCAACTATAAGGAGCAGTGCTACCTGTTGTGTTTGCACGACAATGGATTGCAAGCGGAATACTAGCGGCATACATGCGGCATGCTGGCCTTGCAAAATCTGACGCTATCTACAGACATACGCATACATACGAACTGATGCGATAACGTAGCTTGCAGCCGAAAGCGTGGGATTGCAAGCGCTTACAATCGCACGCCCGCGTTCGGGGATTTTCGTGATGTCATTGGTCATCGCCAAGACCGACGTTCGCATCGGTGACGTTTTGAGCGTCCTTCGGGCTCGCACCCTATCTCTATTGCAGGTCGAATATGCTCGGGACTTTAGCCACCATCTTTGGGCTGACGAGGTTCAATACTTCTACTTTCTCCAACGAACCGGCGTCAAGCGAGGGGGCAACATCGTCATCACATCAACTGACGACTGGTATCGCGTGTCGAGGGCAGCGCACCTGGAAGCCGTCATCAAACTGGCGATAGGGAACACGGACTGCGTTGTGTGGACGGGAAACACCACGTAGTGAGCATTCTCGTCATCCAGTGACCCATTGTCGCATACAATGTCCTATTTATCAACTATGTATGATGTATCACTACAATTATGGACAGCATGAAAATTCAGTAGCTGTCTCGTGCTACGAAGCCCATCGCCTCCAGCTGTCGTAGTAGCGCAGCATCCAGTATGTGCTGGCCCTCCTCTGAGCGCTTGAATTGGACCTGAAAGTGCTGAAGGGGGTAGGAGTACTTGACGCGGGAGCGGAGCATGCGTGCGATGACCCCATCGCTCGTCAAGCATTCGCCTACAACGAGTTTCTTCAGATGCGGCATCAGCGGGACAATGTTATCTCGCGCTGGTCGTAGTTGTCGGAAGAAAGGATCGCCGATGTAAGGAATTTGCGCATCGAAGGACGATAGAGTCGACATCTGCGGAAGAGCCAGGATTGGGAGGAGGGTATCTTCGTCAAGAGTGCCGCTAGGCCACATACTGAATGAGTCCAGACCATAGGATATTCTAGACAGAAATTGTTGCAGTGTGCGCGCGTCGGTAAATGGCCATCTATCGCTGTGACGACCCTTCGCCTCGATGGAGAGGTTACGGAGAGAAGGCAGCCACAGCCGTCCAAAAACCTCGTCAAGCGGACCGTCGCTGTATACGTTAAGTTCCACCAGCGTATCCTGATAGACCATATCGGAACGCGGAAGTGTTGGGGCTATTAGGTGGGATACACGAACGGATATGGTGCTGAGAATGCCGCCGTGCGCCATGATGTTCAGAAATGCATCATGACCGATGGGCGACTCCTCGAAGTGCACGACCACCAGTTGCGACCACGGGACGGCGTTGGGAGCAGGAATGCGACATATACCCAGCTCTCCAGTCCAGTCTAGTTTGCGCAACAGCGGAGCGGAGGAGTACAGGGGTGACACCGTTGACACTTGCTCGCCGCCTTCGATGAAATGCAATTGAAGGTCCCGAAGCGTGGCCGCCGCTCCTGCGCGTATAGAGGACAGTCTATGGCAAGACAAATGCCCGATAGTGAGGTGTAGGACTTCGACCTGCGCGATGTGCTCCATGACGAAGTCAAGGGTGCAGAAGCAGCGATCCCCGAACGACGGAATCGGCAGTTTCTGACCCGCGGTCACCACTCGATGAAAGTTCTTGGAGATGTTGTAGTAGTCCAGGTCGTAGTAGTGAATGGACAGTCGCTGGCCGCCCGCTCGATGAACGTATGTTCTCGCGAGCTCGAGGTGCTGGTGTCTGCCCTTGCGAGAACATACGCCCAGCGCGAGTCGCTGCCAGAGGGCAGGAAGACCGATGGCGACGTCCCGCCAATGACCACATACATGGCTGAGAACCAGCGGCGTGGCGCGAGGACTTAGCGTCGCCATACACAGCTGCGAGGAGGGAACATGCAGGAGAATGAGGGATAGAAGCTCTGCTGGAAGTCGACTGATGGGGGGAAGATTTTTGTCGTCCAACCTTGGGGGATCGCAGGCGGACGAGGGCATTGTCCACGGCCGATAATATCCATCGTCCGGCACCATAAATTGAGTCGGAGAAGTGTTCTGCGCATCGACAACATTTCCTTGCAGGGCGGTATTCGTACGACGCTGATCCTGTCGGGGAGTTATACCAACGTGGGGGCTGGAGTGATAACATGGTAATGAAGCATGATGTTCTTGCTGAGCAGCATGGCTTGTACGGTAGAGTTGCCCACTCGCTGGCCGCGGATCGCCTGATGATACGTCTCCTGTGTTTCTCAACGCCGCAGAGTTCGGAGGGAGCCATGCACCAGTTTGACCGAACCAGTTGAGCTGCGGATGCAAGGCACGGCCAGCGAGCGTCTGCGACTGAGCATATCGAGTCGATGTCGCTGATGCGTTCGAACGCTACGGGTATCCCTTAGCAAATGTTATGACACAAGAGCAAGCGAACGCACATTGTAATGATGTATTTCGTTCATCCTCCCGCTATGCTGCACATGCGCTGAGCGACAAGACGTGTCCTGCACGCCGTATGATTCGGGGGACTTGGTCGTATGGGAGTCTGTGTGTGTCCATAACCACGATGCTTATATACAGACAGACTGTCATTCGGGCAGAATCCGGGTTTTCCTTTATGCACATATGGGGTTCAGGACAAGCTAGGACAAGGCATGCCCAAAGCGGGCACAAGAACCAAAGAAGGAAGCTTCGCGCCACGTGTCAAAGCTTGTTCCTCGCATGTGACAACGCGGAGAAACAACGACAAACATTTACTCTTCACTCGTTACAAGGCGCTTTGGCGGAGTGGTTAACGCGAGAGATTAGAAATCTCTTCCTCTTTGAGGGCGCAGGTTCGAATCCTGCAGGCGTCGTCTTTTTTCATCTTTTCTACGAAGATTGGAGCGTTACAATGCCCAGAATCAAGTCGGAACTTCCGAGCACGAAAAGTGCAACGTGTTTGCGTATGTTGTGTCTGCTCGACAGGCTTTGCTGCCGTTCGAAAGCTTGTTTGATGATGGTCGACATATTCAGCCACGCGACCCCGAGGCAGACTGAGAGAGTAGGATATAGTCGGCAATGTCACAGGATAATTCGTCGTACAATCGTTACAGACGGCACGGTGAGATACACACACGTGCGCCTGTCCTTGCAGAATACGCACGTTCTATAACTTCGCCTTGACCACCACCTTGCTCAACCCGCCGATGATATCCTCCACTTCCCTCTCAATCCTGCCCACCAGGTCCTGACAAGTCGGGATGTCGTTGATGACACCCATGGATTGGGATGCGCTCCAGATCTACGAAGCCGAGTCAGCACATCGAGGACATGGAGTAGATCGAGCACATAAAGCAAACTCAAGCATAAGGAGTAGACACAGCGACGCCACTCACCCCATAATCCGGATCACCCAGCTCGTACCCCTTCTTCCCGCGCAACCCAGAAACTAACTCGCGCACGTCCTCGAATTTGGCGCCGCCCGGCTTGCGCTCGATGGATACGACTTCCATGGACACCTAAAGACCCGTAAGCCTTGTGTCCGCCGTATACTATGGCGGGGTTTCAATGACTGTTGCCAGTCTAGCCCACGCACCTTGTTCTTGAACACCCGCGCCGTGTTGTGCAGCGTGCGGAATATGTGCACCGTATCCTGCTCCTTCGACTCCACAATCTTGTTCTTGATATTCTGATGGATCGGGCTGCGCGAAATGAACAGTCAATAACACGACACAGACAAAGTCAGCTCCCCCTTGGTACGTACCTCTCGACGGTGCACATGAACCGCGTTCCTAACCTTCCGTGTTAGCCGTGTCTTTGACTGAACAAGGCGTTGGCCAGGCGCACCCATATTGGCCCCACAAGCCCCCAGCGCCAGCACGCCCGCGACGCCCCGCGCGTCCGCAATGCCTCCCGATGCAATGTACGGGATCTTCAGCTCTTGCGCCGCACGCGCCAGCTATGCGTGACGACCGGTCAGAATATTGATGCACAAAGCGCCAGACCGCACTCACCAAAACCAAGCCACCGACATCTTCCTCTCCCGGGTGTCCCGCGCCTGCCATATCGCATCAACATAATTGTTCGGCGAAGAGGGTATTGCAGGAACTCACATTCGAACCCATCGATGCTCAACACGTCGACACCGTGCTTCTCCGCGCTCTACAAAGGAGTTCAGCCACGCCGCTGTTTGAGAAGGAAATTCAAGCCGGGGTTCTGGGTTGTGAAAGTCCGAGCCCGAGCTGGGGATTGCCTACCTTCGCGTGCCGGATGGTCGTGCACTTGTGGATCACGATGCAGCCCTGGCTCTTGAAGAACTTGATGAGCGCACCCGCTAAAGATGAAAAGGACCCGTCAGCATGCCTTGCTCCTCAGAAACCTCCCCATAGGGCCAGCTGCATATACAGTCCATCAGTGTATCTCCGTGCCAAAATTTCCGCCGCCCGCGAGAATGTATGATATGGGCAAGGGGGAACGGAGGCAGGCAAGCGATGCCGGGGTGAGGAGATGGCCAGCGCACAGGAAAAGGCCAGCGCCCAGCAGAACGACGCAGAAACATAGGTGGAACAGAGCACGAAGCAGCAAACAGTACTCACGCGCATTGCCCGCCGTCTCAAAGATCCTGACGCCCTCCTCAATTGCCGCGCGTGCGTACCCCTCGTAGTCCGGAGGATTGATAGTCGGTAGAAGGGTGATGTTCACGCCGAACGGCTTGGAGGTCAAGCGGCGCGTCTCGCGGATCGCTTCGCGCAATGCGTCGGGCGACGGCTGAGTGAGCGCGGTGAGGATGCCTGAAGATCGTGTGGCGGGAGAAACCAGATAAGCAAGCGTAGGATAGCACGGAGGCGTGGAGGGGAAAGAGGGGAAGCAGAGGAAGCGGAGGATGAAGGAGGCGTTGATTGGACGTTTGGTCACAGCGTCGAGGAGGGGCGGGTTCGTACAGGAGAAAGCAAGGGCGATCAGTACCAGTTCCCGTACGGTGTGGTAATAGCACCCACCTAACGCCCCCGCCTCCGAGACAGCAGCAGCGAGACTCGGAACACCGACCCTACATGGTCGTGAGCGACCTGCGGCCACAGCGCTGGACTGCGATCTCAGCACAGGTCTCTTACCATTGCATCCCCCCTTGCACGAGCGGCCTACGGTAAGATGAGCTCTTCTCTCGGATACAGTTGAGAGGATACGCACACACGGATCCCAGTAGCTTCGTTAAGGGCGTTACGAGAACCATGGTGTGAGATGGAGACTGCGAGGATGTCCTTCGAGGTGTAGAGGTTGGGATGGAATCTGTGCTTCCGGCTGCTACGAGAGAGTCTGCGATAGTGATGGTCAAAGACAAGGAGAGCGCTGGATGTAAAACGCCGGTACGCTGAGTGGAGGACCGGCAGGGGGAGGTGGCAAGCCGGCGCGGGGAAGCTTGCGATTCGGAGGTTGCGCGTGATTCTCGACCGGTCCGACCAGCCGACCCTCTGACATATTCGAGTTCTGACAACACAAAACAACAGGCGCCTGGTAACATTGTGAAGGCGACGTTGACAAGCAACCGCGTCCTACTCTTCCTCTCCACGGGAGCTGCACAAACACTGTTAGTCAAGGCGTCCTTCATGAAGGCGCCTTCTACTCAGCTCGCCGCCTTCCGCGTTGACATAGTCTCACACCGAAAGAGGATGCAAATCGTTACACATTATACATTTCTTTGCTTCACTTCCTACGCTACTCTATAGGGTGTTGATACAAGATACATCGTGTCGCGGCCGGAGCAGAGGGTATACACACGGTTTAGACGCGGCGTACATGACGGCTTAAATGCGGTCGACGTTGCCGAGGTCGGTGCATGCCTCCTTGACACGGACGCTCATCGTCTTCTCGCCCTCGCGCACCCAGACACGCGGGTCGTAGAGCTATGCAAATCGTCAGACACGGTGTCAGTCACAGTACGCATCAAAGAGACGCACCTTCTTGTTGGGCTTGTCCGGGCCCTCCGGGTTGCCGACCTGGGACATCAGGTAGTCCTTCTTGTTGAGGACAAAGTCACGGATGCCCTTGAGGTACGCGAACTGGGTGTCGGTGTCGACGTTCATCTTCACCACGCCGTTCGTCACGGCCGTCGCGATCTCGTCCTTCGACGAGCCAGAGCCACCGTGGAAGACGAGGTACCTACGCACCGTGAGTGAGCAATCATACCATGGTAAATAACGAGTGAACGTACAAAGGCTGCGGGGTCTTGCCGCCAAGCTTCTCCGACGCGAACGCCTGGTGCTTCCCGAGGAGCTCGGGGCGGAGCTTGACGTTGCCCGGCTTGTACACACCGTGCACGTTACCGAAGCCAGCGGCAATGCTGAAGTTCGGGCTCACGGCCGCGAGCGCGCTGTGCACGTCCCAGATGTCCTCCGGCTGCGTGTACAAGCTGTTGTTGTCGACGCTCGAGTTGTCGACACCGTCCTCCTCGCCGCCGGTGATGCCGATCTCCATCTCGAGCCACTGGCCCATTGGCGCCATGCGCTTGAAGTACTTCACGCAGGTCGCGATGTTGTCCTCCTTGCTCTCCTCGGAGAGATCGAGCATGTGGGAGGAGAATAGGGGCTCCTGGTGCACCTTGAAGTACTCCTCGTCGGCCGCGAGCATGCCGTCGAACCACGGGAGCAGCTTCTTCGCGCAGTGGTCGGAGTGCATGATGACGGGGCTGGAGCGAGGTCGTGTCAGTATGGAGGCGAACGCGTTGCGATTGACAAAGGCACGACGCACATTCCGTACTCCTTCGCGACGATGCGGATGTGGTGGGCAGCGGCGACGGCACCAGTGATGGACGCCTGCTGCTTGTCATTTGGGAGACCCTTGCCGGCGAAGTAGGCAGCGCCGCCCTGGGAAACCTGGCAGATGACAGGGGACTTGATATCCCTGAAGCGAGTTCAGTCGCGTAAATCGACGCGATGGACGAGATCGCTGACCTTGCGGCCTCAAGGACGGCATTTGCGGTCGATGAGGAGGTTACGTTCTGTTCACTTGTGAGCGCGATGGAAGGAAAGAAGCGGTAGGAGACTCACGAATGCCTGTCATATCATTGCTAGTCGGTAAACTGTAATCGAGCAACGCAACACGCGTCAACGTACCGGGATAGCAAACTAGAGATGCTCTGTTAGCTCGCATCCTGGATCTGGTGCCCATCGCACGCACCTTGTGCTCCTTGGCATAGTCGAAAACTTTGCGGACGTTGTCGCCCGTGACAACACCAGCCTACACGGACGAATACCCGGTCAGCAACGAGCCCGACGACGACGACGAGCTCTGCACGCACAGGTACGATATCGAGGAGACCCATGTTTGTTATGTCGTGGATGTTAGGAGGAGGAGATGGAAAATACTGAGCGGTGGCTTCGGCCCATCGATGTTTTATTGGGCGTTCCACGTGAGCATTTGAATGACGTCTGTCATATCCGCCATGATATCAGCGCTGGCGAGTCGCGTACACCGCGCTCCGCCCCCGCGCCCAGCGGCCTGGCCTTCTTCCGTCCGTGCGTTGGGCGGGCCCAGCTCACGTGGGCTGCATGAGTGCGCTACCCAACGCCTCCGGGCGCGAGTACAGGCAGTCTGGACGAGGCCCGCAAGGGGGCGCGCAGTGCAGTCTGGAGCGCTAATTTTCCACGCGCCAGAACGTGACTCGAGGACCCCGCGGCCGACTCGAACCGCCGCGCCGATCCTTTCTTGGAAATTCGCATCGGGAAACCTCGACCAGGGCCTCAAAAGGCTCAAAGGACTCAAATCGATGGCAACCTCCTGCGCCCGAGCCCCTCCGAGCCCTCCTTGCCTTCGATTGACCTCCAAGCCGAGCGGCCGGCCCTGCGGGCAAGTTCCAGAAGATACGCGAACAAAGCTC